CCAGCCTGACTGCTGGAGCTGCTGGCAACAACTCCCTGTTCTCCACCAAAGAGACAATGAATCCTAAAAACTAAAATAAAGTGAAGCTGCCACCACCAATAAAACAAACAAATAAGATCCAACATTCAGTGAAGGCTGCGAAACTCAATCTAATTTAAGCCTCAGACATTCAAATATGCTTCTGTTAAGGATGCAGGCCAAGCCAAGTAGCATGCAAGATATCAACTGCAATCCTTCAAAGCAGGGGCCCCATGGGAACCAAAACATCCACAAGTAAGGAGAAGCCTGCGATCTATGATTCAAATCAGGAAGCCAAACAAACCCCAGGACAAGAGCGGCTATCTGCCTTGATCAATGCCATCTCCTCACTCTAGAGAAAACTGAGGGTTCTCTTTATCTGTCATCTCATTTCTGTCTTAAGCATCCTTAGGGCAGTGGGTTTTAAGCCAGCGTCTGAGGTACCCTAGGAAATCCTTGGGGTCCCCACAGAGGACTGGGGGCAAAGGCTGCGAGTATATGCTCTGAGTATCACCCATCACTGCAGCCAGACCAGCTCTGCTTTTATCTGACTTAGCTGGTGGGCCTTTATGTGAAAAGTCATTGAAGATAAGGCTCCACAGCTTCTTAAAAACTTGAAAAACATCATTCTAACATGTGGCACAAAACAATGAAAAAGGAAGCTGAAGACTGGTCAGAATTTCCCCGGGAACATATAAAGCCTCAGATTCTAGACAACCTGTGCCAATGGCAGGAAAAGGCAGCTTACTGGGCTCACATAGCTTAACAAACACCCCTAACAAACCCCCAACTCTCTGCACTCTGGTTCTGTGCTAACACGTCACTTCTGGTGTCTATTTCAGTGTCCTCAGTGGGCCATGCCATGCGCACATGCCAACTCCACTATAATTCAATTTTATGCACAACCAAGAAAGTAGCTCCCTGCAATCTGGCTTATGACACCCCCCGCCCCCACCCAGTGCACTGAAGCCGCTGTAACAAATGACCTCACTACTAACTCCAGTGGACACTTTTTAGTCCTTTATCTTATTTGACTCTTCTGTGCCATTTCATTCCACAAATATTAACAGAGTGCCTACTGTGTGCCAAGCACTGTTCTAGGGGCTGCAAATACAGATATGAACAAACAGTAATGCTCCATTCTTAAAACAGTCCTTCTCTCCTTGGAACATGCCCCTCCCTTTGGTATCTAGGCTTCCAAACTCTCTTCCTTTTCCACTTAAACGTCTAATTACTCTTGTTCAGTCTCCGTGATAAAGTTCTCTTCCTCTGCTAGTCCTTTACCTGGAGGTATTTCTCTCGCCCTGTCCTCAGCAACACTCTCACTCACTCTAGACACTCTTCCCACCTACTTCACAGTCACTGTGAGTATTAAATGAGGATGAAGTAGACAGCCAGAAAAAGAGAACACTCTTGATAAATACTTTCATCACACTGCATTCTAACTGTCTACTTTTCTGATACCTCTGTTTGATCATCAGCTTTTTGAGGGTTTACTGCAACATCCTGAGTCCCTACTGCACTGCCTAAGACACAGTAGGCAATCAATAAATACTCGTTGAATGAATGAATGAACAAGCGAATGAAGGAGTGAGCTGCCATGTTGGTTTATAAATCAATCTCGGGCAAACTGGATGTCAAAGTCTCCCTGACCAGACGACTAGTGCGTGACGTGACAACTCCAAGATTCTAAACCTACAAAGGGAAGAAGTGAAGCAAGAAGCAGGCAAAGAAGACAGGCAACCGCAAGCCAAGTCTGAGTCAACCCGGCTCCTTTCGCCAACCACATGATCAAACTAGTTTAATAAAGAAGGGTCCCTTTCCCACTCTGGGCCAGTGGTACGAAACAGAGGGAAACGTGATCACTCCTTTGTACAACCTGCCAAGAAAGATACTTTTCCAAATTAAAACTTAGTGATTTTTAATTGGAGAATTTGAAGAATTGCAAATCTAACCTCTCAACACACATTGTTTTTCTCATCCACACTAATCTATATTTCTCTCTCTCAGACACTTCTGGTTCTTTCCTAGACTAACGTCAAGACACCAGGAGCACCTCCCAGTTAAGAGATTCGGAGACCTCACTGTAAAAGACAAACTCCCTATAACCCTAAGTGAGAGCATTACGAACAAACGTATCGAGTTAGTTCTATTTTTGAAGGCACCAAAAGAAGCACTTTACTTACTGATAGGCAAAATGTGGCAAAGGGTACGGGAGGAAGGGTCTGTGAGCCACAGCATAGACATACTGCACCAGGTCAAAAAGGAGGTACCGATTGGGCCTACAAAAAGAGAATTCATAGTTCTTCAAATTATTTGCTCCTTACAAATTTTCTTTTTTAATTTAACAAAATAACATTTTTCTTGTGAAAAGAGAAACACATATGCATTATAGCAAATACAGATTAGCATAAAGAAAAATCACCCATAATCCTGCCAAAGATAAAGTTAATATATTTAATATATATCCTTCTCAACCCCTAACATATACACATTTTTCATTTTTATAAATATACGATTACACAGGTCATCCTATTCTGTAATGTCTTTTTCATCTGATATTAAATCCCAATCATCTTTCTATGTCATTAAATATGCTAGTGCATGTTTAAAGGTTGCACGTATTGCACTGCATGTGATCATAACTATTTTACCAATTCCCAGTTCTTAGATATTTAAGCTATTAAATATATTCTTTTAATAAAATGCTTTTAATGAATACTTATAGTAAATATTTGTACTTATCCATGATTATATATTTATAATACATTCTAGAAGTGGAACTGGCTCAAAGTATATTTTGAAATTTTCAAGCTTTTATTGAATACTTCCAAACTACCTTCTAAAAAGATTTATCAGTTTACCCAAAATGCTAGTAGCCTCTTCACCAAAAATGAGTTTAGTCATAAAAAATAAGCAAACCCAATTTTGCCAACCTGCCAGGTAAACAAGGTACCTCAATGCTTTAATTAGCACTACTTTTATACTAGAGATTAATTTTTTTCTTCATATATTTTTGGCCATTTACACTTCTTTCTTTTCTCTCTTTCCTCCTGGAGTCCCTCCCTGTAAGAACGATTTGTAAAAATTCTTTTTATTTTAATGATATAGTTGGAAATATCTTTTATTGTCTGTATTTTGCTTTTTAATGTTTAAGTGTTTTGTGGCATACAAAAGTTTAAATATTTCATTTAATCAAAACTGCTGATTTCTTTTACTTTATGGTTTGTTTTTATATTTAGAAAAATCCCTCTACAGTCACCAGTGACATCAACGTCCACATATTTTGTGTAATGTTTTTAAGCTGTTTTTTAATACCTTAAAATAAGTTCCTTCTATAATATATTTCTGTATTGATATAAAGATCTAACACCATTTACTGAATAATCTACCCTTTCCTCACATTTTGAAATGTCACCCTTATCACATACTATATTCTGACACGTATTTGAGACTGTTTCTGGAATTCTGTTCTATTCTATCGATCTGGACAGTTTTGTACCATTATAACCTAGCTTTAATAATTATCACTTATAATACATTTTAAAATCTCTTCACCTATTTTCCTACTCCCTTTTGCCTCAGAAAGCCTGTGACAGCTAAGAGCTGAATGAAGGTAATTCATTGAGAACTTCATCATTCAAAACAAAAACAAAAACAAAACCTATGAAAATGTCAGCTAGGGGAAATATCAGACAAAGCCCTCAGATAGCTTCTTTCAAGTTCCAGAAGGACCTGTAAGGATTATTGCAGGGCATATAATATATACTACGGCAAAGAACAATTCGTAATCTTTACGCTGACAAGCAATCCTGATATCGTGGGTAAACTAATTATATGGAATACGTTTGCTCTTCAACTGTTCTAAAGCACTTTGTGTTCCGCTGTGACTCAAAGACTGCTTTCAGTGACCCTGCTAACAGAGAAAGGTACACTGAAGCCTATGTCCTTCCCAGCTTAGATTTCATGGTTCAGCACTGTAGTCATTCCTCCGCAAATATCCTCAGCAAAACCCTGTCCCTTTTGTACTAGTGTAGCAAAACCCCTACTCTGATTAACCCAAGCACCTGCCTTCTTTGTGCCTGAAGCCCCAGCAAGACAGAGCTGTAGAGAAAATACAACTGGGCTAACTGGCTTCACCCACTTCAAACGGAAGACTCGGCTCTGCCTGCAATCCTACTGTGCTCTGCAAGGAAGTATCCTTTTCCTGTCCTCCTAGGGAATACTTCCTATCTTCTCCTCTGTCCTCCAATTCTCCACATACCTCTCTGATCCACCCCCTCCTGCCTTCTAGCTGACGATCTCCTCACTGGTCTTTTCATCATTTTCTTAATGGTATCTTTTGAAGTACAGAAGTTTTTAATTTTGATGAAGTCTGATTTATCAATGTTTCCTTTTATGAAGCATGCTTTTGATGCCATATCTAACAACCTTTGCCCAACCCAGAAGATTTTTTATTTTTCTTCAAAAAGTTTCATAGTCTTAACTCTTGCATTGAGGTCCTTGATCTGTTCCAAGTTTTTTTCATGTATGGCGTGACGAAAGAATCTAAGGCCATTTTTTTGCAAGCGGATATCTCGGTACAATTGGTTGAAAAGACTATCCTTTCCCCATTGAGGTGTCATAGCACCTTTGTTAAAAAACAACCATCCATAAACATAAAGGTGGATTTCTAGACTATCAATTCTGTTTAATTGATCTCTACGTCTGTTCTTATGCCAGGACCACACTGTCTTGATAATTACAGCTTTAGAGAAAGTTTTGAAGTTGGGAGGTTTATGTGCTCTAACTTTATTCTTCTTTGTCAAAATGGTTTTGGCTATTGTGGGTCTTTTGCATTTCCATATAAATTTAGAATCAATTTGTTAATTTCTGCAAAAAGCCTACTGGAATTTTAATAGGATTGAGTTAAATATATAGATCAATTTGGGGAAAATTACCATTTTAACAATATTGACTCTTCCAATCCACAAACATGAGCTGTCTTTCCATTTACTTAAGTCTTCTTTAATTTCCCTCAAAAATGTTTTGTAATTTTCAGTATACAAGTCTTGTACTTCTTTTGCTAAATTTATACCTAAATATTTTATTCTTGTGGATGCTACTGTGAACAAAATTATTTTAATTTTATTTTCAGATTATTCACTTGCTAATACATGGAAATGGATTTTTATATATTGATCTTGTACCTTGTGCCTTTGCTGAACTTGTTTATTAGTTCTCATAGTTTTGTGTATGTGTGTGTATCAGTAAGTATTTAATGAATGAACGATAGAATGCACCAACATCATATAATTAATAACTGTGAAAAACCTAGGAGCAAAATTAAGCTTTTATGCCTCTGCCTTAGCCTCAAAATGTCAGGGAAATAAGCAAAGTTTTCCCGTGGGGCTGAAGAGACAAAAAGAGAAGTGTAGATGAATATTTACAATTTCATAAGGAAAAATGCCTACACTGCCATGTCTAGCATTACTGTTCCCATCACTGTGCCAAACAAGTACGACTTACTATAGCCTGGCAGAGACTGGAGAGGCTGGACAAAGGTAAAGAGGAGAATGGCTAACTCATCCCAGAGCCATTTCCCCTGAGTAGTGAGCAAAGTTTGTAAAGCCGTTTCTGTTCATTCCTTGAAATCCTGGTCTAAGTACTTTTTGACTAGATCCTGGTATCTTTTGAGTCTAGACTTTTATGGAACTTGCGCTGAACACTTTTATAAATAATTTTCCTAGAGTATACAACTGATTACATACTAATGTACCAAATTGGGAACTCAAAGAGAAATACACATCTTGTAGGAGCTAGTTGACATAAACATGATATAGAGTTTTTTGCACTGAAAAAAAAATTTACTAAATTTATTAATAAAAGTGAAACATCACAACGTACGAATTCATAATCCTGGGAATATATACTATGCCTCCAGAGAGAAGTGTCTTTTCTTTTTGTTGTTGTTAATGCCACAGAGTCAATTCCAACTCCTAGCGCCCCTGTGTACAGCAGAGCAGAACCTGCCCAGTCTTTGTGCACCACCCTCTCACCTCCCGGTGCCATATCAGACAATGCTCCACTGCTATTCACGGGGTTTTTGTGGCCAATTTTTTCAGAAATGTGTGGTCATGTCCTTCTTCCTAGTCTGCCTTGGTCTGGAAGCTTCCCTGAAACCTGTCCACCACGGGTGACCCTGCTGGTATTTGAAATACCAGTGGCATAGCTTTCAGCATCACAGCCACACGCAGCTGCCACACTATGACAACTGACAGACCAGTGGTGTGATTCCCTGACGGGGAAATGAACCCAAGCCCCAGGAATGAGAGTGCAGAATCTTAACCACTAGACCACCAGGGCTGGCCCGTCTTTTCTCTAGAAGCAAATATTTTTTAGGAATTAGGCTATAACTTATCTGTTGAATCAGATCCCCACCTTTCATAGAACATCAGGTGTCATTAGTTTGCTTCAATAATGACAAGGTTCTGGGCCAAGTATCAAGTGGACTTGGTACTTTTCAACTTGGTAGATTGAGTCTCAGTTTTTCAGTTTTAGTTAATTCAGTAAAAAGGTCCTAAACCTAGCTGTGACATGATTCAATAATTTCGAGTAAGTCACATAGCTTAACTGTGCCCCATTTTTCCTGAGAGCAAATTTCAACAAAGAGAGCATAAAATAAATTGCACAGCACGAGCAACTGTACCCTAAACCAGCCATTTCCAACCTTTTGGAGGTAATGACATACTCTACCAAAATTCATTCAATTTTGCAACTATACTCACTCCCTAAAAGTATTCTGTTTATGTTTCAGAATTTATAGCAGTATGCTTTTATATATTAAAAACATCACTGTAGTAGTACAAAACCATCCTTGGGGATCACTGGACTAAGTATATGTAATATACTAGGGCAGTGGTTCTCAGACTTTAGGGATAGAAGAATCATTTATTAAAATAGATTCCAGGCTCCCTTAAATTCTGATTTAATATATACATTCAGGAGATTCTGACAATGGTGGCCTTTGGACTGCTCTTTGAGACACACTGGTCTCAGGGCTAAGGGAGTAAGGTTTCTGGAATAAATACAGTCGAAGAAAGACACTGTAAAAATACAACGAACAAGTCTGTTAGTAACACGTTTAGAAATCTTTGTTGTAAATCATTATGATTCTTTCATTTTAACAGGTAGCACAATTTTAAAGTCAAGGTCTAGCCACCTACCCAACGAAGACAAAAGTCTTCCCTCTGGCATCTGGGTCCTTAATTGCATTAACAATTCCTTTGGCTACGTCTACAACCTATAAGAAATTATAACACGTGTTTGAGTAATTGTTGAAAGAGAAAGAAACAGAGAGATGGGGAGAGAAAGAAAGAGAGGAAGGGAGGAAGGGAGGGAGAAAGGAAGAGAGGAAGGAAGGAAAGAAATTATAACACGTGTTTGAGTAATTGTTGAAAGAGAGAGAAACAGAGAGATGGGGAGAGAAAGAAAGAGAGGAAGGGAGGAAGGGAGGGAGAAAGGAAGAGAGGAAGGAAGGAAAGAAAGCCACATCAATCACACACAAAAAAAACCCCACAATCAAAGTAACGGCATTGTCTGTTTTCAGAAAGCTTCTGAAAGAACCCACTTCTCAAGAGCTCAAATAATCTCCACATTGGAAGGCTCACCTACCTATTTCCTCTCCTCAGAACGAGTTTGTCTTCAGACGGCTGTCAGGCCCTTCTGAGGTGCCTTTGCCCACTCCCGCTCCCATCTCACCCCTGACCACTCCTCCCAACTCTGTTACTAAGACACCACTGACCACTAGGCTCCACCACATGGAACTGCCGATATTCTACCACTCGACTTTCAAAATAATAATTTTATGTGGTTTCAGACCCCACGGTTTTCAACTGGGGGTGATTTTGGCCCCCAGGGGACATGTGGCAAATACCCAGAGACATTTTTAGCCTGGGGGGGGCGGTGCCGCCGGGGGCAGTGTCCTACTGCCATCTGGTGGCTAGCAGCCAGAAACACTGCTAAACATTCTACAACAGCCCCTACAACAAAGCATTATCTGGTCCAAAACGTCAATAGTGGCATAGCTGAGAAACCCTGGTTCAACATCATATGGAATCCAACATTGCTCTCTCACCTTTGGGCCCCTATACACTCTGTTCCCTCTGCATGGAATACTCTTCCCCAACCCTTTCATCTGACTTGCTACTGGTCATGTTTAAGGTCTCATCTTAGATGTCATTTCCTCTGGAAGGCCTGCCCTGACCCTCAAGTCCGGACCAGGTGTCCCTCTGATGTAATTATGTAAAACCCTCTTCCCATCACAGCACTTATCAAGTTGCATGATAACTGCTTTGCTGACCTGCCTCTGAGACCAACTTGAGGACAGCAATCCATGTCTGTTGAGTTAATATCTCTGTATTCCCAGTGATGTGTACAGTGTGTCTAAGGGTTCAATACATTTTCCTTAAATGAACAAATAAGTGAAGACACAGAGAATACACGCACCTCTTAGGTAAACTGAGAGGCAACCAGTTGAAGCAAGTTGACAAAGAAGAAAATGAAGGAGTTACAGGATTAAGATAAAACCAGAAAATTGATCCCCTGAATCTGAATTCAGCTAAAGCCCCTTCATCCAAGGTACTTACATATACCGGTTGTTTCACTGTCTTCTTGCCCATGGAAATAAGAGGTACACCACCAAATGAGCGAATATCTGGCAGAAGAAAGAGAACTATTCTTAGAAGGCCTAAGCTGCTATAAGACCCACCAATCTCCAGGTGCTCCAGGTAAGCATAACATTTCATTTTGCATAACAGAAATAACGAAATAAATGAAGCTGACTCTGAGGAAGCTAATGATCTTCCTCATTAAAAGCAGTAGCCATGTGTTTCTCAGACATGGAGACATGGAAAGTAAAAAGGCCTTGGCTACTTGTCTTCTACTCTATAACGCTAGAGGCATGGCCACTCCCAAGACTGGGCTCTAACTGCACCCCATTCTAAGGAGGAACATGGGAATCAACAGATGAGCGATACAGCATAGGTAACCCAGAAAAGGATGCTGGTAAAAAAGGGACTCAGTGTATGATGACTGCAGTACCACAAATATGTGGGAAACAGAAATATTATCTAATACATGGTGCTGAGACAATCATTCTACTCTTTGAAAAACAAATAAAAAGAAATGGCTCACATATTACCACAAACCAAAACAAATCAGAAGTGGATTAAATGTAAAAATAAAAAAAGCTTTTTAAAAGAACTTTTTCTTTTGGTGAGGAAGATTCATCTGTTGGCAATCCTCCTCTTTTTTTTTTTTTTTTTTTTTTTGCTTGAGGAAGATTAGCCCTGAGCTAACATCTGTGCCTATCTTCCTCTACTTTATATGTGGGATGCCTCCACAGCATGGCTGATGAGTAGAGTAGGTCCGCACCTGGGATCTGAACCTGCGAACTCGGGCTGCCAAAGCAGAGCCCATGAACTTTAACCACTCGGCCATGGGGCCAGCACCTAAAAGAACTTTTAAAAGTAGAAATTATTTATAAGAGCATCAAAAAGAATAAATACTTAGGAATAAACTTAATGAAGTTGGCTAAAGATCTGCACACTGAGAACTACAAAACATTGCTGAAAGAAATTTGAAGACACAAATAAATGGAAAGACACCCCATGTTCATGGATTAGAAGACTTAATATTGTTAAGATGTCAATACTACCCAAAGCAATCTACAGATCTAATGAAATCCCTATCAAAATCCCAATGGTGTTTCTTGCAGAAATATAAAAATCTCCATCCTAAAATTCACATGGAATCTTAAGGGACCCCAAGTAGCCTCAACAATCTTGAAAAAGAAAACAAAGTTGAAAGTCTCACACTTCCTGATTTCAAAACTTATTACAAAACTACAGTAATCAAAACAGTTTATAGTAACTAAAACAGTGGCATAAAGATAGACATATAGACCAGTGGAGTCGAACAATCAGAAATAACCCTTGTGTATACGGTCAATGATTGTTGACAGGGTGCCAAGACCATTCAATAGAGAAACGACAGTCTTTTCAACAAATGGTCCTGGCAAAACTGTATATCCATGTATAAAAGAATGAAGTTAGACCCTTAATTTACACCCTATACAAAAATTAACTTAAAATGGATCAAAGAGCTAAAACTACAGAATCCTTACCAAAAAAAAACAGGGGAAAAGCTTCAAGATATTAGATTTAGCAATGATTTCTTGGATATGACACCTAAAGCATAGGCAACAAAAGTAAAAATAGATAAATTAGACTACATCAAAATTTAAAACTTCTGTGCATCAAAGGACACAATTAACAGAGTGAAAAGGCAACCTATGGAATGGGAGAAAATATTTGCAAATCATATATCTGATAAGGGGTTAATATCCAGAATATATAAAGAACTCCTACAATTCAACAATAACAAAAAACAAACAACCCAATTAAAAAATGACCAAAGGATGTGAATAGACATTTCTCCAAATAAGATACACAAATGGCCAACAAGCACATGAAAAGATGCTTAACATCTCTAATCATTAGGGCAATACAAATCAAAACCACGAGTTATTACCTCACATCCATTAGGTGTGTCTTTCTCTGCCAAGACAAGTCCAATTAGTAAACACAAAAACCCCGAGAGTAAACATCAAAAAAATAGAAAATAACAAGTATTGGCAAGGATATGAAAAAAACTGGCACTCTTGGTGGAAATGTAAACTGGTACAGCCACTATGGAAAACAGTATGGCAGTTCTTCAAAAAATTAAAAGTAGAACTACCATATGATCCAGCAATTCTACTTCTGGCTATATATCCAAAAGAACTGGAAGCAAGGTTTGGAAGAGACACTTGCACAGCCACGTTCATAGCAGCATTATTCACAATAGCCAAAAGGTGGAAGCAACCCAGTGGCCATTGACAGATGAATGGGTAAACAAAATGTGGTCTATACATACAAGGGAATATTATTCAGTCTTAAAAAGGAAGGAAATTCTGTCACATGCTACAACCTGGATGAACCTTGAGCACATCATGCTAAGTGAAATAAGCCAGTCACAAAAAGACACACACTGTATGATTCCATATGTATAAGGTACTTAGAATAGTCAAATTCACAGAGACAGAAAGAAAAATGGTGGTTGCCAGTACCTGGAGGGAAGAGAGAACCGGGAGTTGTTGTCTAACAGATACAGAGTTTCAATTTCACAAAATGAAAAGAGTTGTGGAGATGGGTTGCACTACAATGTGAATATACATTCTACTACTGAACGGTACACTTAGAAATGGTTAAAATGGCATCTTAGTCTGCTGGGGCTGCCATAACAAAATACTATAGACTGGGTAGCTTAATTAAACAAGAGAAATTCATTGTCTCACAGCTCTGGAGGCTGGAAAGTCTGAGATCAAGGTGTCTGGTGCAAGCTCTCTTCCAGACTTGTAGGCAGCCACCTATGTTCTTACATAGCCTTTCCTCAGATCTCTCTCTCTTTCTTCCTCTTCTTATAAGGCCACCAATCCTATCAGGTTAGGACCCCACCCTTATGACCTCATTTAACCTTAATTACCTCCTAAAAGCCCCATCTCCAAATATAGTCACACTGGGGTGAAGGCTTCAAGAAATGAATTTGCAGGGAACACAACTCAGTCCATAGCAGAAGGTTAAATTTTATATTATGTATATTTTATCACAATTTTTTTTAAAATGGAACTCAATACAAAAGGTGAAAGGACACAAGCAATTGGAGGAAAAAACACATGATAAAAACATCTAAATTAGGGGGCCAGCCTGGTGGTGTGGTTAAGTTCACATGCTCTGCTTCACCGGCCCGGGATTTGCAGGTTCGGATCCCGGGCACGGACCTATGCACCGCTCATCAAGCCATGCTGTGGCAGCATCCCACATACAAAATAGAGGAAGACGGCCACAGATGTTAGCTCAGGGCTAATCTTCCTCAGCAAAAAGAGGAAGATGGCAATGGATGCTAGCTCACAGCCAATCTTCCTCACCAAAAAAAAACACAACAAAACAAAACATCTAAATTGGATAAACAAACTGTGGTACACCCGTACAATGGAATATTATTCAACTATAAAAAAAATGACGGGCTGGTCCTGCAGCCAAGTGGTTCAAGTTCCACCCACTCTGCTTCGACAGCCCAGGTTCATGGGTTCAGATCCCAGGTGCAGACCTACTCCACTCATCAGCCATGCTGTGGAGGTGGTCCCACCTCCCACGTGGTGGTCCCACGTACAAAGTGGAGGAAGACTGGCACAGATGTTAGCTCAGGGTGAATCTTCCTCAAGCAAAAAACGAGGAAAACTGCCAACAAATGTTAGCTCAGGGTGAATCTTCCTCATCAAAAAAAAAAATAAAGAAATGAGTTCTCAAGCCATGAAAAGACATGGAGGAACCTTAAACACATATTAACATATTCCTCAGTGAAAGAAGCCAGTCTGAAAAGGCTACACACTGTGTAATTCCAACTATATGATATTCTACAAAAGGCAAAACTATGGAGACAGTAGAAAGTTCAGTGTTAGCCAGGGATTGGGGTGGGGGTAGGGGGAAAGGAGGGAGGGATAAATAGGTGGAACAAAGGGGATTTTTAGGGCAGTGAAACTATTCTCTGTGATATTCTAAAGGTACATATATGTCATTATACATTTGTCAAAATCCATAGAATGTACAACATAAAGAATGGACTTCAGTTAATAATAATGTATCAATATTGGCCCATCAAGTGTAACAAAGGTACCACACTAATGCAAGATGGTAACAATAGAGAAAACTGCTGTGGGGGAGACTGAGGGATTAAAGGACATGTGGGAACTCTGTGCTTTCCACTCAAGTTCTCTGTAAACCTAAAAGTGCCCTAAAAAATAAAATCTATTATTAAGGAAAATAAAAAAATTAAAGTAAATAAGCTAACAAAAAAGTTGTAGCAAATATAAGAAAAGATACATATTCATAATAGATAAAGAGCCTAAATAAATCAATAAGAAAAACTTCTCTCAAAAAAACAACCAAAAACCCACATGGGCAAAGGACATACATAAAAAACTCACAGAACAATACAAATAGCTAACGAGGAGACACAGGAAGGTTCTAATAAAACAGTAACTACTAACCATCCTAGTACTTCCTAGAAGAAAGGTCCAAATCCTCTCCCAACACAGAAGTGAATAAATTTAGAGGTAACTGGTAGTTCACTCGAATCAGAAACTAAAGCTGGGTTCTTATCACAGACTTTAAAAATGTATTCTCCACTCCTGCCCCCAGAGAAGTACAGGGAAATCATTTTCTCATCCCTAAAATCTCAAAATCTCTTCACTTAGTCAAACACTGATTTTCTCTGCCAAGACAAGTCTAATGAGTAAACAAAAACCCTGAGAGTAAACAAAACATCTTCCAGCCTATGAAAGCAGTTTATACCAACTGACTGGTTCTAGTTTAGCAATGCCCAAATTAATATTTATTAATCTCTAATCCTGTTCCATAGAAATTGCTATTAACAAGGAAGACCTATTAAATGTGTCTGACCAAGCACAATGCTACCTCTTTGTCTTTGAAAGCCAACATACAAGTGACTTGGCTGTCAGACTAAATGTGAGAAAGCAGTAAAGAAACAGGGACTTCAGAGGAAAAGTACAAATGAAGCCAACATTTAAGCATTTACTATGTGCCAGGTGCTGTAACATAGGCTACTTCATTAATTAACGCACCACTCTTGAGGTAGACATTATTATGTCCACATTAACAGACAAGGAAGCTGCCACTAATAGACTTGCTGAAGTCACAGAGCTAGTTAGTCCTAGGGCCAAAATTTAAACTCAGGTCTCTGACTCCCAAGTCCATGCTCTTTCCATGAATATGAGTTGCTTCTTTTGATACAGAGTAATGAAGATCAGGAGAAGGACCACACTGACTAGGCAAATATAACCTTTGGGGAGAAAACGGCAAGTAGGGGAGAAAAAATGTAATCTCAGTCTGTCAAGTCAGAGAACACTGTTAGCTTGTGCTTAACTTCAACCTGGTTAACCAGTGTCCTCTCTTCTACCATTAAGAATACATACTTGCGAAATGATTGAGGAATCTATCCTCTCTTCCAAAGATGTCCGATGGCTTTATGATAGTGGCTTCTGGAAAAGCATTTCTCACTTCTTTCTCTCCAAGAGCCTAAACAAACAACCAAACAAAACAGAGTTCTGAGACGAGTGAACAAAGCTTCCATTCATTCCACTGTCAGGACGCTACTTATATTTCAAAGGTCATATTTTCCTCCAGATTAGGGTAATCATAGTATTCACAAAACTCAGTTACACAGAAATTTTTTTAAAAAATAACACATAAAAATGCCCTGCCTCTTACAGCTCTTTTTGGGTTTCTTCTCATATTCATTTGACAGAAGCTTACACAGAAGAAAGAAAAATCAGAGTAGAATTTTTCTAGCCTCCCTCTTTCCTTCTAATCACAGACTCTGGTTTGTGTCAACAATCTGGCAGGCTGCCACAGAAAGAAGAACATGCTGGAACAAGCTACAATAATGGAAGCAGCAACAGTATACCAGAGGAGTCGGGATGGGTCATTTATCTTCCTAATTTCAACTGCTGTAACCCACTCACTTGTCATCTGCTCACCTCCTAGACAAGGCTTCTTGTTCACTGCCGATATCAGCACCACTTCAGTCTTCCTTTCCACCCCAACTTCCTTTCCACCTACACCACCACTGTGGGCATCATCAATGTCCACGTGGACTTGGACCTCTCAGTTTCTTAAGCGTATCAACGCCAGTGACCTCCTCTTCACTCCACTTCTGCTACTTGCAACTCTGTCAGGCCGCAGAGCATATCAACTACCAAAAGTGCCCTTCTTCTGAAACACTGAATGAAGACAGCCTACTCTCAGGTGACAATCCCTTGTACTTCCAGCCTGTCTGTTCTCTGTTCATCCGTTCCCGAGATATCTGTTCCTCAGCCTTCTCAGGAACTCTAGTCCACTGATTCTGCTTTCCTCTGTTATCAACCCCTCTTAACTTCCCCCGCCTCAGATTAGATTCTACGGCCCAACTTTTCAATCACTCTCTTACCAATATCGTAAACCACCTTGTCCCTCTGTCCTTTACTCTACCCACCAGGCAAAATCTCAATCCTGTAGGAACCCCATTAGCCTCCTTTTTTGAGTCACTCACTCCTGCTGCCTTCAGAGCTGGAGGAAAATAAATAAAAATCATAAATTGGTACCACTGTAAATTCATGTTACCAATTTTAACTGGGCTCTCAACATTTCTGAGAAATAGCGTTTTCTTCTAATTAGTTTACTGTCCCATATGACAATTTCAAACATTTTCTATTCTATTCAAATTTCTCCCTTACTTTTCTCTTCCTTCCAGTAAATGACTTCACCTTCTAACTCAAAGAGAAAATACAGCAGCAGAGAAAAACCAGCTCAAGTTCCCATCACTAAATCCATACTCAGATGCATGAACCAACATTTTCTCCTCCTTTCTTACCACAACAGAGGCGCAGTGCCACCTGCAATGCTTTAGAGTTCCCCTCCTTTCATTTTCTCCAGAACCTGCCCAATTTATTCTCTCCCACATCTTCAGTCTCACTCTCTTTACCAGCCCCTTCCCAACAGTATGCAAACAATGTCAAGATCCTCTACTTGAAAAGAAAAAACAGTCCTGACTCCACATGCCCATCCGGCTTCCTGGCCCCTCCGTCCTCTTACCAAACCACTTAAAAATGCTGCCTGCCCTCACTGTCCCCACTGTCTCAGCTCCTGCTCACTCTTCGCTCACCTATACTCTGGATCCTGCCCTGACACTGCACTCCAACTATTCCTGATAAGGTCACCGATGACCTCCATGTCAGCGGATCCAAGGTGACTTTACACCTCTCACCTTACTTGGCTTCTCAACGGCATTCATAAGTAGCTACTCCCTCCTGCGACACCGTCTTCTCTTGGCTTCCACAACCTTGCACTCTGCTGGTTTCCCTCCTATCCCACTGTGTGATGGGAGTGGTCCCGTCTTTCTGTCTGTTTTGTGTTTGCAGGTGCCTCCTCATCTCCCAAACCACTGATCATCAGTATTCCTCTGGTCTAGTCCAAAGCTCTCTTCTCAATCTACAATTCCTCACCAGGCCATCTTATCCCCTCCCATTGCTTCAATTAACAACAAATGCTGGTGACTCCCTAATTTATATCTCCACTCCAGACCCCTCTTCTGAGCTCCAGGATCATAAACTCCATTCACCACTGTTACCTTGTTGATTGACGTGCAATCTCTGCTGCACACTGGAATTACCCAAGAATAGTTAAAAAATACTGACGCCCAAGGTATATCCCCAGAGATTCTATTTTAATTGGTCTTGGTGCAGCCTAGGTATCAGGATTTTTCAAAGCTCCCTCAGTGATTCTAATGTGCAGCTAAGGCTAAGAACCACTGTCCTAAAGCCTAGTGTCCCATATGTTTCACCTTATTCAACAGTACCACCATCCACCCAGTGGTGTAAGCCAGAGGGCTGGACGTCTCTGACTCTTCCCTCTTTCTCACCACTGACAACTTGCTCCATCCCTCCCAAACAATCATGAATTCAGACGATTCTATGAATGCTAGGGCTGAGGCAGGCACAGTGTGCACTCTCTCTTTCTCTCCAATGTAGTACGAAAATGTGAGGCCTGGATGTACCATCAGCCAGTTCTGTGACTATGAGAAACAAAGCTTACACAAAAAAAAGAGCTGAAAGAATCACAGAGAGACAAAGCTGAAGTCCCGATGAACCTGGGCACCAACGTGGCTAAGATTCCCTATTGCTGGATTTTTCAGATACGTAGGCCTATAAATTCCCTTTATTTTTAAGCCAATTTACACCGAATTTTCTGATGCTAGTAATTAAATGCTCCTATCTGATAGGTGCCCCCTCTCCCCCATTATTGTTCCTATGGCACAGTTTGCTACTCTACAATATCTGGTGCATCTGGAATTATTTTCCTCAATGGACTAGAAACTAGATATGGGCTAAGACCACGTCTGTTTCATTCACAACCGTATCCCAGCACCTAACACAATATGTAGCACACAATAAGTGCTTAATAAATAATCTGTTCAACAAAAGAATACAGTGGATTGAAAAGCTGACGCCACTGTCAAGGAACTCTGTGGTGCTTATCAGTCTGACTGAAAGCAGGCTCACTGCAGCAGAAGCCAATGCTAAAGGCAGTTCCAGACACTGCAATCCTTTCTGAGTCCTTGATAATAAAGGTGTTTCAGGTTACAGACTGATTCCAAACCAGAGTGGTCAATCCCTAGGTACAACCTGGACTACGATGGGGTTTCTGGAAGTACAAGAAGCCTAAATACTATGTGAATAGCCATTTTCCTTGGCAAACATTTATCCCTGTCATCCTCAGCCTTCATATAACTCCTTCAAGGTGGCATAAGACCATGACTGTGCAAGGGGTCTGAGAAAGAAAGATGGTCCTTTAACCTTGGTAGGAGACACAGATATGATTCTTTTGGCAGGAATCATACTCTACCTTTTATGATGTTTACTGTGTAATTCTATTATACCCCAAGAAACTTTAAGCATTTGTCAGCAGGTAATAATATGGTCTATTTATCTCTGAAGCTCCTTAGCATAGTTGCCTGCAAACAGAAGGCACTCAACAAAAGTGTCAGAACACACACACACACAAAATCTAATTCTGGATATGGAGAATTAGAAACCCCTTCTAATTCTGGATATGTCAAGGAGAAACCCTTCTCTTTTTTTTTTTTTGCGAGGAAGATCAGCCCTGAGCTAACGTCCACGCCAATCCTCCTCTTTTTTGCTGAAGAAGACTGGCCCTGAGCTAACATCTATTGCCAATCCTCCTCCTTTTTTTCCCTTTTTCTCCCCAAAGCCCCAGTAGATAGTTGTATGTCACAGTTGCACATCTTTCTAGTTGCTGTATGTGGGACGCCGCCTCAGCATGGCCAGACAAGCGGTGCATCAGTGCGCGCCCGGGATCCGAACCCGGGCTGCCAGTAGCGGAGTGTGCACACTTAATCGCTAAGCCACGGGGCCGGCCGCCAAGGAGAAACCCTTCTGATTTAACTCATGTTTCAGAGGGGCTGAGAAACTCTAGCTCTGTGAACTGCTTCCCAAATCAATTTGTTACCTTATTTCTCAGATATCTAGAAGAGCTTTTAATATCAGCATTCAGATGGGAAATATGAATGAATTTTTCAATTCCAGCTTCCTTGGACACTTGAGCAATCGCTAGGGGAATCTTCACAAAAACATCCTCAAAATCAAAATTCCTGTAAGAAAAAAATAGGGATCAGTTAAGAACACCTGACTCAGGATTTCAAAGCTTTCTGCAATAAGCTGGTTTTCATCTTATTGCTAAAATCATAATAGTTAAACTTTTAAACAGCACTGATTTAACCCAAAGTCAAAATTAATGTTTTTTTTTTTCAATTTTACAGGTCTGCTCATCATCATTATTATACTTAATTTAAGGCTTACTATATGTTATAAACCAGCATGCGTAACATTCTCTGTCCTCAAGGAATTCTAAATCTGAGGCCCTTTAGAAACATCTGGCTGCACTGGTTGGGTGGGGTGGGGGGAAGTATTGGGGGCTGGAAGGGGAATCACTTCTTACCCTTGGGCCTTTGTTTCCCTCAGGGAAAAAGGGAAACTAAAACGTCAGTCACTAATTTTCTCCAACAACATTAACTACATGCTTACTCTGTACAAGGCACTGTGTTAGTCACTACGGGGGATATAAAGTTGAACAAGACCCTCCAAGTCGTCAAAAACTTAAAATGTATGATGAGGCAGACACATATAAATAAATCTAAGTCAAACTTTAATAAATTGTAGAATTACAGGATTAAAACGTTATTTGTTGATAAACAATCCAAACAAAAGCTAAAAAAAACTGTCCAAACCAGTACTCACGCCATTTTTGATTAACAATGTGGAGAACAGATCCAGAACTTTGTCTACTCAAGAAAAATCAAGGTTCAACTTGTTGAACAGTAGAACAGGGAAAATCCTCCTTGCTAACCTCATCCCAGCTGGACAGATCCAAGCACAGGACCAACACCAGTCATTCCGTCACATTAATGACACTGACCACAATGACACAATCCATACTGGCTTGTTAGGGGCAGCACATCACACTGCTTACTTACATCAGACTTACTGCCAACTAAATTCCCTAAGGGGGAGTCACTGGGTACGTAAAAGGTTCAGTCTTTTCATGGACTAATTGAAAAGGTCACAACTACAATGCCTGGCATATTAGGTGCCCAATGAACATCTACTGAACCCTAAGACAGCTTTAAGAAGAAACGAGAGTCAGACACTTACTTGGTTTCCCAATCTCGCCCAACGAGATTGATGACCACATTGCTGTGCTCCACTGCTCTTCGGATAGAATCTTTGTTTCTCCCATTCCATTCCTATAATAGCAGTAGCCAGTCACATGAAAACATAAGGGGTGCACCCTGGCAATGAACACTTCTACAGCCCCCAACCAGCAAGTTTCAAAATGGGCCACGTGTTATAGTCGTAATACGACACCATTTCGTACAGGCTCCATTTATTACAACAGAAATAATTTTGAGGTCTCAAACTTCCTGTTGATTCTCTGACTCTTCTGGAGACAAATAGGTCAAAGTACATTTTATTCAGGTAATCAAATGATAGAACTAGAAAAGACATATTCATTTTTAATGGGGCATATCAATTTTTGTCCAGCTAACTGCCCCCCACAAGTTTGTAAAGGAATCCAGTAATCAAGTCTCCCTTCCTGAAATATAGCCAAAGAGCCAAGGAACATTTGGGAGGTAAACCGACTTTCCCTTTTTAGCAGCAACCAGTTAGACTGCAGATAAGAGGAATGCTCTTAAAGGCTAATATTAAATTGGAAACATTTACAACTATTTTCCTATTTCTTTTTAACTCTTTACTCTTTATAATCCTAGATCTAGTCATTTCTACTTAAACAAATGAAAACAAAACTCAGAGACAACTGACCTGCCTAAAACTTCAGAGTGAGCCAATGCCAGATTTTGGTGTAGAACTATACTTCTGAGCAGTCATGTAGGAGTTAAATTAGATTGATGATTCTTTATCCAAAATAGTGACTGGGGATTAAATAACCCCAGACAAAGGTATAGAATTTTCTATGTCAAAACTATACTGAATTTTAAAAATATTTCAATGGAAGATAATAAAGAATAATTTCTTAGGGTCAAATATTAAGTGTGTATGTATGAGTGAGTAGGGTGGGAGGGAGAGTGAGAGAGGAAGGGAGAACGGGGAAGAGAAAGGGTGAGAGAGAGAGAGAGTACTAAAATGCCTGCGTAATTAGACAAGAGAGAATGGGCTACAGAAATGAGATTCTAGAACAAAAAGATGAAGCCCTCAGCAGGAGGAACTAGTTACAACTGATGATGGACAGTGGGTACATGAGACAGTATAGAATAATAGATCTGAAGTCAGACAGGAATGCAAATTCCAGTTTGCCATTTACTAACCACGTACAAATGATCTCTCCAACCTCCACGTAAAATCTGAAAATGCAACCTACCTCATGGGGTTGCTATGAAGATTAAGTGAAATATACATAAAATCTGCAGCACAGTGAGTGACATACTCAACAAAAAAAGCCGCTCAACACACAGAAAGCTAAAAACGTCTTTTCCAGACAAGATGGCAAGGGTGAGAGAGGAAGAATCCCAGAAGACTCAAAGAGTGGAAGAGCTTGAGGCATAACTGCATGAACGGCCCGAGAGCCCAAGGGCGATGCGGCAAGAGAAGGAATCAAAAGGAAACAAAATTCACAGGGATAAGGCCCAGGGGGCACAGTCAGATTGGTAAACCAAGTAGCCATTCAGACAGCAGTTTCAAACAGAGACTAAAGCGGGAAAATTAGCACCCCACATCCGATGTGGTCCATCCTTCTCAAAAATAAACAACAATATAGCGCTCCCCCATTACACCTTCCCTGGACTTCCCCTTTCATAAACATTATTATATCCAAAGTTATGTGTTTGGTGACTGTATTCCCTGTTAAGACTGTGAACTCCCTATGGTCTTGCTCATCAAGACATGCTCAGAACTTAGCTCAATGTCAGGCATATAGCACTCAATAAACACCTGTGGAAAGAATGGACTACATTTCATATGGCTCAATTCCAATGATTCCACATTTGCATGCCAGTGAAAGTTTTCACCTATCACTTGCTAAATACTTTAATTTTGAGGATTGACAAGGTGACTAATAATCTTAAATCACAAAGAACTGGGAAAAAGCTAAGCTCCTGTAAGTGTAGTATCAAGAAGATATTTGAGAGTAAGATTTTGAAAAAGAAAAACATTTTAGATACAAGAAATTTCCAATATAAATATTATACTTAGCTTGTGAACATTCAGTAAAGAATAAATGAAAATGCCACTAAAAATAAGTCAAAATTTAAAGAGATCACAAATACTCTGTATAATATCAGAGATACTAAGGACGTTTACCAAACATTTTTTAAAAGGGGAAAGTGTGTAAAGGGAGGAGCTCAGTTCTACACAGGATGACAGAAGTAGGAAAGTGAGCTAAAAGAACAGCAGAGCCAAGCATCAAGGCCCAGAGCATTTCTGCACAGGATTACTGCAGGCCCTGTGGGCAGCATAACTCTTTGTGGAGAAAGACTGTCCTGTGCACTGTAGGATATGTAGCATCCCTGGCCCCTACCTGATAAACCAGTATGGTCTCCAGTCACTGTGATAACCCAAAGGGCCCACACATTTTTTTGTTTTTTGTGTGTGAGGAAGATTAGCCCTGAGCTAACATCTGTTGCCAATCCTCCTCTCTTTGCTGAGAAAGATTGGCCCTGGGCTAACATCCGTGCCCATCTTCCTCTATTTTATATGTAGGATGCCTGCCACAGCATGGCTTGACAAGTGGTGCATAGGTCTGCGCCTGGGATCCAAACTTGTGAACCCAGGGCCACCAAAGTGGAGCGTGTGAACTTAACCACTACGCCACCGGGGCAGCCCCAGGGCCCACACATTTTTAATCACTCCTTTGAAGGGTCTTCCCCTACTCTATTCCCTCTGTCTAGCCCTACTGGCAATGTTTGGCCTAAAGGAAGAACCTGCAGATTAAAGAAAAACAATAGGAAACGCTCAGGAAGGACTGTTCTAAATTAAGCCTATGCCAAGCACATCGTAACTCAGACTAGCCACATTTCAAGTGCTAATAGCCATGTGGCTACTGGCTACCATACTGGACAGCACAGCTCTAGAGCAGGGGTTGGCAAGCTATGACCCACAGGCAAATCTAGCCTGCAGTCTAACTTTGTAAATAATGTTTTATTGGAACACAGCCACTCCCATTCATTTACATATTGTTTATGGCTGCTTTGGGGCTATGGGGACAGAGCTGAGTAATCATGACAAAGACCCTATGACCTGCAAAGCCTAAAATATTTACTATCTGGTCCTTTAGAGAAGAAATTTGCCAACTGCAGTTTACAAGAATGCCCTGTGAATGGAGGATGTCCTTGGTCCACCCCGGGATGCAACTGTTACTTTATTATACTGCCTTTCTCTCCTAAAAATGACCTTAGTAATTTACATCTGTCAACTCCAATAATAGTAATACAGGCTCTTACCAAAAAGATAATCTGGCCCAGGTCACCCATGGGACGAAGGTACATGATGTCATATGTATCACACCGATAGGGTATGATCACCTGTGACCCCATACGTCCTAAAAAAGAATGGATTGAAACAAGGATCAACGTTAACATAATAAGGATACATTATACAACACTGATTTGGTAAATATTTAAATTCTAGTCTGATATGTGAATTGATACTATCTTTAGCAAAAAGCACATTTCGCCACGCTAGAGATGCCATAACTTTTCAGAGTCCTCTATTCTCATTTTAACATCCTATATAGAAAGCATGGGTGGGCTCATAATGCACAGCAGACCAAAATTACATAAATCCAAGATAAGAGTATTTTGTAACACCGTTAAAATGAAAAGAAACAAAGCTCATGGCTTCTCATTAGGCAATCCTAGTAAGTGGCCTTTAGTATACTAAACTCAAGGAACTTTACTTACCAAGGCGATTGACAACATATCGGCCCAGGAATCCTGTTGCTCCAAACACAGTGGCCACAACCCCACTGACTGAGGAGCGCCCGCCTTTCCCATGAGGTATGAGTGCATGATGAAGCTGGCGCTGGGGTGGGCCATGAAACACGGATGTGGCTATTGCAGTAATAGAAGAACCTTAAACAAAACCCCAGAATATACAAAAATGGCCAATGTTAATATAAATGTGACTACGAATACAAACAGTTTCTTTTCCTAGAAACTTGTAATGTTATTTTGCTATCAGTATTTTCATTTACTGAGGTTAAAGTTTAAATTTAACTTTTAAATTGGAAGTTATAATTCAAGTGCCAACAGCAATAATAAACACAAACTATTGCAACAAAGAATACATAGGACATAAGGAAATATACAAAAATGAAGAAGTAAACTCCCTGCCCCATAGGATATAATTTAGCTAGGAAGATAAATCACATTTAAAAAAACATTAAACAGTAACAAATTAAGACAGTATAAATCTCCATGGTGAAAGAAACCGAGAGAATGCAAAGGGAGCAATAAGTTAGATAATCATGAGAAAAGATTCCTAGATAAAGTGTTTTGAGAAAAGTTTTAAAGAGCAATAACAGAAAGAACAGATTTCCATGTGAAATACATAACACATATAACAATGCAGAGATGGGAATGAACAAGCCCTGTGCAGAGAACAGCAAAAGACCTGGAACAGACTCTGAAACGGATGATGAACGAAAAAGTTGATGATATGGATTGGAGGCAGGGAGGGTTAGTAGAGAACATTTTTTTAAAAAAGAATGCAGTTCGGACTTAATATACACAACTACTGAAAATCATCAAAAGTAGGTAAGTAGGTAAGTAAGTAACTAAGAAAGTAAGTCTGTGTCTGTTTTCTAGGGATCACTTTCCAGTGGCACTCTGCCCAAAAACCATTGTTTTTCCCTATCCAAAAGTATGGAACTGCAGAAAAAGCCTAGCTTACCAAATAGTTACTGAAACCAGAGATTAAAAACAAACATCGCAGATCAGACACATAACAACACAAAAATAATATCATAATAAGAGCTAAACTCACAACTTACACCTGGTATTGTTCTAAGTGCTTAATAGGTATTATCACATTCAATGCTATCTATATTGCCAATTTACAGATGAGGAAACTAAGGCTCAGAGAGGTTAAGTGACTAGCCCAAAGAGCCAGCAAAGGAGAATGAAAAGCAGCCCACAGAGGTAGGAAAAAAAACAAAGGAAAATGGTATCCAGAAGCCAAATGAAGAAAGTGATTGATGGAGAGAATAGTTAACTCTATCAAATGCTACTGAAAAGTGAAGAAGGATGAGGACAGAGGACCATAGCATCTAGAAAATGTTGGTTGTAAATGGCCTTAACAAGAGCAACTGTATTTATTTTTATTCCACTGAATGAAAGCCTGACTGGAGCAGGCAAAAGAGAGAATGTGAGGCAAAGGAGTGGTAAGAAAAGGATCACAATTTCTCCTCAAGAGATATGATGGACAAAGGGGCAAAGAGAAATGGGACTGGAGGAAAATGAGAACAAGGAAGGGTTTTTTTCCTCAATGAGATATTATAACATATTTATATGCTGATGGAAATGACCCAGTAGAGAGGAAAAATTAATGACCGAGGAGAGGGAATGAATAGGTAAGAGAGGATGGGATGGAATGCCGAGCGAAGGAACTGGTCTTAGATCAGAACAGGAGCTCACCCACTGTAAGAGGACAGAAGGCAGAGCATTATCACAGGTCAGCTATTAGATTTTTATGGTGGGAAAAAGTGTGTTCTCATCTGATTCCTTTGATTTCTCTGTAAAGCTGAGAATGAGACAGAAGCACATGTTAAAAGTTTTAGGGGATTGGTGGGTGACATTAAATAATCATTATGGAGAAAGAGAAAGTGAATTTCCTAGGAAAATGTAGTGCTGAAAATCTCTTCAGATTTCTATTCATGAATTTAAAATAAAGCCTGTCAGTTAGTCTGGAGTTTTTCCTAGCTCAGTTCTCCACTGCTCTGAGGCAGGAAGCAAATACATGGAAAGCTTGGTTTAATCAGTGTTGGTTTTTTTTTAATGACAAAGGGAAACAGGCTAGGGAATTGAGAATGTATGAAAGGGAATGATTAGAATGATGAGTAAGGAAGTGAGGGTATGTAATAAAGGACAGAGTTAATAAAATGGGAAGAGTTATCGGAGTCAAAGAATTAATACCTCAAAAGATTGTTACGAGGATTAGAGTTAATGTACGACAAGCATTTAGCACATTACCTAACACACATTAAGCATTCCACGAATAATAGCTGCTTTCATTTATTATTACTTCAGAATTCTGCAGAAGGTAATGTTACACTAAGCTCACATGGTTATTTGTTTTTTCAATAACTATGGGCCAAGTACTATTCTAGAAACAGTTTTCACTAGCGCAGTAAAAAAGACAAAGTCCCTGACTTCATGGAGCTAACATTTTTAGAACGTTGTGAGAATTAGTAATACAAGGGTAAGCACGTGTCACAGTGCCTTGCACACAGTAGGTGCTCAATAAATAGAAGTTCTTGCCCTCTTTGGCTCCAGCCTCTCCATTTTCTGTATTTATTATGAACATCATTAGGAGAGTAATATTCTTTATTCCTTATAGTCCTTTGCTCAAAAATTTATATTGGTTTCCTACTGTAGTATCTACATCAATAGTCACCAAACATATTTGCTTGCACACTGCATTAGCTTTTTATTTTTCAACTATCCATTTATAATTACCATACACGTTCTATGTAGTACCAATATGTTAGACACATCATAAAACACATTAAAGCACTTACAATAGTGTCTGGTATATAGTTCGAACTACGTTAAGTGTTAGCTATTGTTATTATTACAGAAAACGTTTTTTAAAAGTTCTAATACTGTATTTTTGTATCCAGTTATTTCCTCTTGTAAAACTCACTTTGGAGACCACTGGTCTAAACCCTGCTTAGCTTTCCAAGGCCTCCTTTATTTCATCCCATGTAACATATTCAACCTGCTTTCCTACTATTCCAGATCTATAGGTAGTCATTTTACTGCCTCCTAAGTACTTCATTATTCCATTCTCATCCTCTTGTCCTTGCCAGTGACAGAAAATGTCCAACCTGTCTGACTTTCCAGATCACAACAACCCTAAAAAAAAAATCAGTGGAAGCGCTGCAATTCTCCACTGGTCTTCCATTCTCCCCTTGCTACTTCAAATGATACCAACCTTTCCCTTTTCTGATTTCCTATGGTACTTAATAGTCTCTTCACATGTACTATATAATTGTTTTACACAGTTCTGTTCTATAGTGTTTTGATTACGTTACACACTAGACTTGCCTTTCCAGAGTTTACTCAAAAGCTCACTTTACCAGAAACAATAAAGCACTGTACTTAAGAGCACACGCTATGGAGTCAGTTTAAAAAAAAAGTAAGTTAAAGGAAAAAATTTATGAAAATATCTAGAACTGTGGTTAGCAGATAGCAGGTACTCAATAAATAGCAGTTATTACCATTCACAATCTATATTATGTCAAGCCAATGTAACAGTTTAACAAGAACCAGCAAATGTCTTTGCAAAGAAGTCATGGCTACAAAACCATCCACTATAAATGATATGCACCAAGCCCCTTCCCAGTGGTACGTAGGACCTCCGCCAACGACAAAAAATAAAAAAGAATCCTCCAAATACTCCTGACTTTCACCTCAGGCTGAACATTAGAACTACCTGTGGAGCTTTTTAAAATTTAAGGTGCAAGGAGCCAATCTCAAAAATTCTGATTCAATAGCTCTGCAGTGAGTCTCCATTTCTATTTTACAAAGCTCTAAGAACGATTCTGACACGTAGCTAATTCTGAGAGCAAATGATACTCTACGATGACTAAAGTACTACGGACAAACACAACTTTTGGAGGTTGATTAGGGTGTGTTTGTGAAGGGGTGGAGGGTGAAAGAATGATAGTGGAGTGTAACTGTATTAAATTCCCTTGCTTTTCTAGCCTCTCTCGGAGAATAGAAGAGCAAAGGTACGCTCTCAATTTGAGGACCATAACAGCGGATCCAATAAGAATAAAACGTAAAATGAACGACGCTTAGACAAATCCTAAAATATCCTTTAATCTTCTTCCTTTTCCTTTCCACCAAGCTGCTGATTCTTCTCTCCCCTCGCGCCCCAGCGCCTCGATGCAGCACACTCTACATCTGTAGAGATGCTTTTGATTTAGAAAGTGCTTTGATAAATATTATTTCATTTAATGTTTTCAGAAACTCCTTGACGTTGTGGTATTATCATTTCTACTTTGCCACGAAGAATCTGGAAGTTGAGAACAATGCAGCGTTTGCACAAGGTCATAAACTCAATCCACGAAGAACCTTCTCTCCACTATCTTTTTTCCATTCCTTTCAGATTCCTCCTCTCGCCCGGCCCGCCACAAATATTTAGCATAAACCTACAACCCTATCAGAACTCTGATTCTCTCGACCCTTTACTGTGCCCCACCTTCTCCCCTTTCCGTTGCTCACGTTCTCTCAGCGCAGACCCCTTCCCAAGTGCACAATTTAATATGTGAGCCGGGGAGAGGGAAAGGAAAGGAAAAACTGTACTGAGGCAGCTCCGAACCTAGGAAAACCAAGATGCCCAGGAAGACGGCGCGACCGCTGCAGCACGGCGCCACTCCCCAAACTTTAGAGCCTCGTCTCGGAATCCCGATCGGAGGCAGCCGTTCCCGGTGACACTTACGTGACATTGGCAGGGCCCGGACAACCCGAGGGTGAACGGCGGCCGCCATCTTCTCCCAGAATCCCCCACCGCCGGCGCTCCGACCGACTACGGCTACTAAGCTGGGTCAAAAGTAATCGTCCACGCCTGTCTGCGCAGGCGCGAACCAGGAAAAGTAGGGGTGGGTCAGAGATTGGGGTGGAGTGTGGCCGAGAAGAGAGCTGGGGAAAGAGAGAGAGCGAGACCGAGGGGAGAGAACGTGAAGACGGGGAAGAAGGGAAATAGAAAGAAAAGACTTTTGGGGTCGGAATCCCAGATATGGAATGGACCGTAAAGATAATCTCATTGCCGAGGAACCCGAAGTCTAGAGTCAACCAGTGACTGACTCAAGGGCATACGACATGGCAGAACCCGAGCTTCAGGAGCCCGGCTCTCGTGACTCTCAGTTCATTGTTCCCTGAAAATGGCAAACAGGGCAGCCCTGGTGAGACTAGGGGAAGGTGGGGGCGTGGCCCCTGAATTCGGAAAGTTCTTTAAGGAGAGAACCAGGGCCCAGGGGAGGGGGTGCACAAGAAATGAGCGGGGCGGGGACGCAGAGGGAGAACGTGAGGAAGAGAAATAGAAATGAGGAAGCGCACGTCGAACTCGCCAAGCACATTCTCTCCTTGGAGCCTTTGCTCTTTTCTGTTGCCTTTTCCTGACATGCTGACTCAGATGTCTCCACCAGCTCAAGTCTCTGCTTGCAGATGACCTCCTTGGAGACTTCTCTGAGATCTTATCCAGGGTGGTCATCATTCCATCTGTCTGTCTATTATTGTTATTACTTATCAAAGCACCTGACATATGAACCCAGAAATTCTTAACCTGCAGTGAGATTCATGAGTGGACTTGAGGAAGTCTGTGAACCTCCTGAAATGTTATGTAAAACTTGGTGTGTGTACCATTTGTACGTTTTTGTAGGAAGAAACTCAAGGTGGCTCTTTCTAGAGCAGTGGTTTGTAATTTTTTTTTTAACTGTGGACCCCTTTAAGTATTTGCATTGTTCTAGAAAGAAGTGTCTAGAGCCCAAGGAGATTCCAGAAAGATTAGACTAAACACTTGCGTTTTTAAATAGTTTATTCTGGTCAACCTCTCAAGATCCCCAAGTAGGGGACAGCAACCAGCAGCCTGTCCTGAGACATCTACTTTGGGCTTATCAGAAAACAAACTAGTTTGGGGGATCTTTCTACACATGATGATTCTTTCAGTGCTTTGTTTTTTCAGGAAGAAAGGAGTGTGCCTTGCTGGGGTGGACAAAAGAGCTGTAGTAAGTAGAGGTTACCTCTTATTAGACTTGTAAGATTGGTTGTTCCACTCCACCCCACCCCTGCTGTTTACTGAGGTGTCACCTACCAAACTGAATTGGAAGAGTTAAGAAACTCTTGAAGAAATTTTAGCAGAGAAGTTTAATAATGCTATGTTGTCGTGTATTTCTTGGCCTCATCCTATGTTCACTCAGTACTTAAAATTTGCTAATGTTTGATTCTGGGGTCAGTATGAATATAAACATACTTTGTTGGTTCTGATAAATTGACAGACCCGGTTATCATCAGCAACCTCCTAACACCTGTGTGACATTGCCAGTTGTGTTATTTTATATCTCGAAGTCAAACACCGCCTCATGTTCTCAATACTAGTTTTTTGTGTGTGTGTGTGAGGAAGCCCTGAGCCAACATCTGCCAGTCCTCCTCTTTTTGCTGAGGAAGACTGGCCCTGGGCTAACATCCATGCCCATCTTCCTCCACTTTATATGGAACGCCACCACAGCATGGCTTGACAAGCGGTGCGTCAGTGCGCGCCCGGGATCTGGGCCTGCGAACCCCGGGCTGCCGCAGCAGAGCGTGTGCACTTAACCGTCTGTGCCACCGGGCCAGCCCCTTAATACTAGTTTTAAGGTGACATGATATAGTTGAAAGAGCACTGACTTAAAACTCAGAATGTTAGATCCCAGTCCTAGTTCTATCAGTTATTAGTTTTGACCTGGGCAAGCTTATACACCTGTCTAGCAGGGAAAATGATACCTGCCCTGTTACCTCAAAAGGTTATTGTGAGGATCAGATGACATATGGAGGTGAAGGTGCTTTGTCAACTGGAAAGTGCTGTATGCGTGTACAGCCCTCCTCCTTTATCCACGGGGCATACGTCCCAAGACCCCCAATAGATGCCTGAAACCACAGGGTACCAAACTCTGTATATGCTATGTTCTTTCCTATACATACACGCCTGAGATCAAGTTTAATTTATAAATTAGGCAGTAAGAGATTAACAACAATAACTAATAATAAAATAGAACAATTATAACAATATACTGTAATAAAAGTCGTGAATATGGTCTCTCTCTCAATATCTTGTACAAATTTAATGCTTTTCCCATCTTAAATAGGCATTTGTCATGCACTGTGGCTATAAATTTTGCAGTTTGAGGTGCAACAGCAAAACTAGCACGAATTTCTTTTTCCTTCTTCATAATTTCGTGGATAGAAGATTCACTCTTACCGTAGATCTTAGCAATGTCAGCAAATGATTTTTTTTCTTTCCTTATTGAGAACTTTCACCTTTTCAGTTAAAGGAAGTACTTTACGGCTTCTGTTTGGCATGTCCGAATTGCCAGCATCACTATTGCACTTTGGGGCCATTATTAAGTAAAGTAAAGGTTACTTGAACACGAGCACTGCGATACCGCGACAAGCGAGCTGATAACCCGGATGGCTACTAAGTGACTAAGGGTGGGTAACGTATACAGCGTGGATACAGTGGACAAAGGGATGATTCACATCCAGGGCAGGACAGGGCAGGACAGAGCAGGATGGTGCAAGATTTCATGATGCTACTGGGAACGGGGCACTATTTAAAACTTATGAATTGTTTATTTTTGAAATTTTCTATTTAATATTTTCGGACTGCCATTGACCATGGGTAACTGAAACCGCAGAAAGCGAAACCGAGGATAATGGAGACTGCTGTAGGTGCAGTTCTATTCAAATACCACTGAAGTATCAAAATCATAAAATGTTAGAGCTGGAAGGGATTGTAAGAGATCAGCAAGCCCAATTTCTTTATTTTAAAGATGAAGAAACTGAGACCTAATATAAAAGATCATCAGTAGATAAATAACCTTGTTGAAGGAAGCCTGTAATAAATCAGTCAGTCACTTTTGAATTCATTAACAATTTTAATATTTCTCTTGTGGCCTTGGTCAGAGATTCTTTTTGCTTCATGGAAACTATGTATTAGTGCTATATTTAATCATTCATTAAGAGTACTTATGGTACATTTCCAAAGAGAATGTACTAGTAATAAAGTCCTCCTCAAGCCTAGACATTGCCAACCAAATGCCTCTTGGTCTGATTTATCCCAGTACACTTCCTCAGGTCAAGGCGTTGCAGAGGATGGATTAGTGTTACGGTAGCTCTGACCACCTAAGACGAATTATAACCCAGAGTTGGTCAGTTTAGGCAAAATATCCAAAAATTTACATTTTTACAAAAGGTAAGATGCTTATGATTAAGAAGAGTCCAAACTGGATGCCACAAAATGAAGTGATTCCATGGGCTTTGCATAAAAAGTTTAGGAGACTCTCAATTGTTTTATTTCTTACTCTCTGCACCCATCTAGATTTGTTAATGCATAATACTTACTCTGTTGTAAGTGGAATCCATTGGCAAAATTTCCCCCTCCCATATTCCTTACCTAAATTAGACAATTAAAGAAGAAAATTAATCCAGAGAAAGCAAGCCCAGTCCTTCCAAACTAAGCATCAGAGCCTTGGAGTGTATCTTCATCCCTCCCCTTGTCCTTTGAGGACTCAATTTCTGGTAGCCTCACCACTGTTGCCATAGAGACAATGATATCACCAGCGTGATTCTGATGTCACTCTCCAGTCCCAACAAGGAGGAGGTACATGGAAGGCTGGGGGAGGAAACAAGATCTTGAGCTGAGCAAGAACATCCCAGCATCTTCATTGACTTTAAAAGTATATTCTGGAGTCTTCTGTGGTTCACTATTCCAGTGCTACAGAGGTAGGAAATCCCCTTGGACTGATAAAACAGTCCATTTGCTGATCTTTTGTGGTTAAAAGGGAGAATTCAGTGACAAGTGATGGGTAACTTTTAATGTTCAACCCAGCCTCCCTCTTTGCCCACTCAATTTTAATTTTACATCAGAGTCTTCCGGAAATAAATGAGCCTCTCCCTTAGCAGCATTACAGCTAAACCTCCCATCTTTGCTTCTGAAGTTTTAATTTTGTTGCAGATTGGCCAGATCTCCTTGACTATCCTTTTGGGGAAATGAGGGGCTCTTACCCCCTGCTTCCCAATTTGAAGATGAGACTGGAAGCTTGACTATCTGCTGACTTTTCCTCTTCCTTGTGTGGCTATTCCAAAAGTTTTTTCTTTCCAGGGCTCTAATAGCAAAATCAGACTGGTATAGTTCTGAGTCCTGATTCTCATCCACTTTCATCCTCTCACTATTATTTCTAAAGCTTTGGCTAGACAACAGAACTGGAAAAAGGCAGGATATGTACAGCTATGAGGAGAAAGTGTCTGTGCTAATGGGGCACTAGAGGAAGAAGCTGTGGAAAGGGCAAGTGAAAATACAGGAGATCCACAGGAAAGCTTAACAGTGAATGACCGCTGAGATACACGCACCCACACTTCTGGTCCTTATTAAACAAAATCAATTGAGACTAATTTCACCAACAATCAAATCTATTGAGTGTCTACAATGTGCCAGGTGCTTAGAGAAAAGAAGTGAGAGAGCAAAAGAGAATGGATATAATAAAATATATTCTTCCTTTTTAAAACTAGTAATAAAACCTGGTTGAATAAAATTCAAAACTTCATCAGATATGTGTCCACCCCACAAATGCTTCATTTATGCTGCCTGTAATTTGAGCTTTTCTGTGAAGTTAGGAACCTTGAGTAAACAGGGACCTCTTGTTTATGATGAGTACAGGAGAAAATGTCTTGTGATGAAGCTGTGGTCTGGGACGCAGCACCATACCCAGACCCTGGTGTCTCCCCGGCTGGCATTCGTGCTTTGCACTCCTCCTTGATTGTTATTATATCACACTGACATTTTT